CACAGAACAACATCATGAAGTGCATTCACAGCTGACCCGCAGACGGCTTTGATAAGAGCTCGCGCTAATGCTACCTACATACGTCTGAAAGAAATCAAATAAAAATTGCAGACATTTCCTACAGTACACTCAAATAAAGGTGCAAAAGCTGGCAATACCTTTCGAAAGGTATACCTTTTTGTACCTCATTTACCACAAAAAGGTGCCTTTTAGTACCTTAAATGTTCATATTTGTACCACAAATGTACATAGTACCTTTTGAAAAAGTACCATCAGTGACAGCTTTTGTGCCTTTTTCAGTAATTCAGTGGTCACAATACAGTATTATTAAAATCACACTTGTTATTATCTATGAAATAAAAAATTGCGACGATTCACTTTTGTATGCTTTTGTTTTTATTTGTTGTGGGCCTCATATATTATTATTATTTAATTAATAATTATTATGATGTTTGCAGGTTTAAATTGACCCTAACTGTTTTTAATACAATTAATCGAAAATCACACTATGAAAAATAGTAAAAAGTAGTCAATGCATATAGAAAACAGATCTAAATAGTATAATATTATAACACAATTCCCCAAACAAATGTGAGAACTTAATATAAATAAAACTGTAACATGTTTTTTATTTAGTTTTTTAATATATCTATTTTAAATTGAACAAACATTTATTTTTCTAATTGTATTTAATATTTAATTTTCACAAACTGTGACTATGCTGCATGCAGTAATTAAATTTTTTAAATATTTTTTTCGGACTTAACCCAAAACTATTACATTTTTTAGTGATAATTAATTAAATTAATCTACAAATGAGGAGACGGCTTATTTAAATTTATATTGTCACAACTTTTGTCCTTTACTATTGATTAAATAATGTGATTTGAGAAAAAGACAATAGTGTTATTCATACCGACATGCCACAGGATATTGCAATGAACAGGACATGCTTCTTTCCTGCACAAACCTGTTAGTGGAAAAAGAAAACAGGAAATGGAGAAAAAATTATGTTTAAATTTGTCAAGCTGAATGTTCTTTAAATAGTGTTTTTGTTAAAGAAAGCATAATTATTAATATCATTACTCAAATATCTAAATATGTAATATCTAAATTTCAAAGCGTTCTTTAGCTCACTTGATTTTCAAATGATAAAATGGGTGAAAATCCCACAGACTTATAATTAAGGAGGGACCTGAGCCATATCTAAGGATATGGGGTGAGCAATATTGACTTGGGCCTATAAGCAACATCCGAGCAAGTGTATAGCCACACTGTAAAAAAAATTACGGTAAAAATACGGCAGCTATGGTTGCTGGAATTTTACCGTAAAAAATACGGTAGCAACGTTTTAGGCTTTACGGTTTTAACTTAAATTTACAGTTAAATACCGTAATTTCATTAACTGATATAATGTTAAAAATCTGTTTTGTACCTTTGTAATATACTGATAACCACCAGAAAAGTCACATGATGAACCAAAGCCCATCACAAGCAGCTTTTAGATAATAACATATATAGAAGGTGCACAGTGTCGTTCACACAAACACTAAACACCATCATGGTAACACACATGAAACTGAAATAATGCAATAAACATTCATTTAACAACATTAGGTGTAACACACAACCCTAATATACAAAACTGATAAGAAAAATCTAAGAAGAAACATACTTATTTCAACAAAAAAAACACAACAAATTTGAAATGTAACGCAGGGAATTCTGGGAATGTCAATTTACGGTTATTCACTGTAAAATATACGTTTTTTTTTCACTTCCAAAAACGGTATACTACCGTAAAATTTATGTCCAATACATGTCATGTCCAATACAGTTTTTCACCGTATATAGTAGGGGAATTTACCGTTAACCATTTAACAGGTTTTTACTGTAGCATTTTTACAGTCTTTTACCGTTAAATTCACGGTCATTTTTTACAGTGCATATGTTAAAAAATAATTTCAAAGACTTTAGTAATGACATAGCAACAACCTGGCAACCGCCCAGAGCTCTCTGGCACTTCTAGGTGCTGCTCACATGTTCTTCTGAAAATGTCAAAGAATAGCCTGTTGTCTCTGCCTAGGTTGGTGAAACTGATTTATTACTACGGTAAAGCCGCATAACTTGTTTCACTCTTTGATCTTGCGTTCACCTTGTCCAGCATGCGAGCTCCCAGCACTGGGTCGTCCTCTGGAGCCTCCTGTGATGTCAGCAGGGCCCTTTAAAAACAGAGTCCAGAAATACTGCAGTGTCACACTGGAGTCTCATCTTATACTTCAAACAGACTGACTGTTTATTCACCTGTCACCTCCAGCTATGATGTACGAACAGACCTGCTTCTGTTTTGGGGCATTTAACATCTCATTAAAGGATGTCTGAGGTACGAAATATGATATGATAAATATAAAGAAGAAATTTAACAGTCATACAGAACACAGTGGGGAAAATGTCAGATAGGTAAATATACAGTGGTTTCTAACTTAATTTTCCTTTTTTTTTTTTTTAATTGATAAATCTTTCTTAAACTCCATACCACCAAAAGAAATGCAATACGGCCTGATGTTCCACAGCCACTTAATACAATCAAACTCTCCTCTGGGTCCTGCAGAGACAAAACAATTATCATCATGTTTTTAGAAATGTTTCTTTTTTTAGGAATTATAGTGTTTTTGACTTTTTAAAATGTATTTAATTTCTTTGAATGAAATGCATTATTTTAAATTAAAGTTATTATTAAAATAAAAAAGTTGTCATTTAAAAATAATATTACATTCAAATATATCATTTTAATTTGATATATACTTGCTAGATATGTTAAATGCTGTATGTAAAGTAAAATAATTAAATAAATTAAAATTAACATTAAATTAACCTAAATATTCAATTGTATATATGTCTGAACTTAAACTATTATTTCTGAGTTATTAAAATAAAGGATACTGACCCTCAGCATCATTTCCACCCTCTTTGCAACATCCACCATCGTTTGGATGACTGGTGAACTATATAGTCTCTATAAACAAAATGCACAGGTCATTAGCATAGAAGACTCTTGTTGGGAGCATAATGACAATTAATAGTTACATATCCTTTTAAAACCAATAGGCCAAACCTGATGAAATGGATTGTGATTTATTTTCTTCTCAAAAATCTCAGCGTCACATCTTCTCAGTATTTGCACCATCTGTTTGCCATTTGCTCTGTCAATATCTCTGCTGATGGGGTTGCATTTCTCCGTAACGGGTAGAGAGAGCTCGTAACACAACTGCCTCGTTAGACAGAAAACCCAGCACTTAAGATTAACAGCACCACTCAAGAACTCCTGTAATTACATTTTAGCTTGCAAGGGAAGAAGATTTGTTGGTCTATTACCAGCTACAGGACATTTGAAATGAAAGCACAGCCAGTTAACAGTGTTCAGTTTTCACTCACCTTCATGTGATCCATGTTCATCAGACTCCAGCATTTCAGCGCATATTCTGATTAGTGCAACATACTCTGATTCGTAAACATGCATGACAATGCAATGCACTGAGATCGCTTGAGAGAGAAAAAGCCCTCACTAAGCACAAAGTGAGCAGAACAAAGTTCACCAAATGAACTCTGACCCGTCAGCTGTAAAAAATTTTTTAAAAATTATATATATATATATATATATTCCCCTTCTAAAAGATGGATATTGACACACAGTAGAATATTTGACTTATATTACAACTATATTTGCCAGGACATATGGATCAGTAGTTAAAGCAGTGTTCTACTCTATTTTATTATGGTATATATTCTAATTATATTCTACTCTATTATGCTGTATAATGGTATAAAGCAGTATTCTATTTTATAATGATATATCAGTATTCTGTTATGATCAGTTGTAAAAGCAGTATTCTAATCTATTCTATTCTATGGTATAATCTGTAGTCAAAGTGGTATTCTATTCTGTTCTATTTCATTATGTTGTATTCTATTCCATTCTACTCTATTCTGTTCTGTTGTGATATAAAGCAGTTTTCTATTCTATTATGGTATATCAGTATTCTGTTATGATCATTTTTCAAAGCCATATTCTATTTTATTTTATTATGGTATATCAGTATTCTATTATGATCAGTAGTCAAAACAGTATTCTATTCTATTCTATTCTATTCTGTCATGTCAGTATTCTATTACATAATAGTTTTTAGATAGTTTCCATATACTTGTCTAGATCAACTCTGAATAAAGAAAAGAGAGGTTTTGAGACCGATATTTGTTTATGTATATGAACTTTAGCTAGCAGAAAACAGATGCAATTATTATATTTTGCTATATTCTCTTTCGAGTATTCAAAAAATTCAAGAAAACATCTTAAATGCTGCTGTAATATTGTTGGTTTTACATAATCAAAATTGTGTATTTTTTTCAATATTATGTTTTATCTAATTAGAAATTATTAAAATTATACTTAGCTTCATTTTGAGTGTATTCTGCTCTATCTGAAATTACATTCTTAATGTAATATTATAATCCCGATTTGTATAATGTAATATTATAATCCTTTATTAAATAAAGGAATGATTATAATCATTCCTTTATTTAATTAGCTACCAAATTCCATTCTATTATATTCTATTCTATTACATTATATTCTCACTTCTTATCTAATGTGAAACTCTTAAGTATTTTGAATAATTTATTATCGCAGTATTATATAAAGTAAAGACTATTTTTTTCATAGAAGTGATGTGTTCTGATATGATTTATTGTATTCTACTACAGTTCTATTCTATGTCTTTTATGATGTTTGCAGTGGACTATCGATGTGCTAGTTTGAATGGCGTCCTAAATATCGTCCAACAGGGTGTTTTTGGAGAGGTGGCGGCTGTACCGCATTCATGCCGGTGCAGGTTCGTGCGTCATGCGGCCACAGAAGGTGAATGAGAGTGAGCGACTGCTGAGAATCAGTCAGTAACTGGCCACCTGTGGGTCATGTGCCTGCGATGCAGCGCCGCTGATTGATTGGTATTCTTAAAGCGTCTTACACGAGCGCATGAAGTGGGGAAGGCGAGCGCGAGCTTTGCGATGGACGCCACGCGTTTACGCGTTACATTAGACGCGCAGCGAGCGGATGTACCTGGTGGCGAGGCTGGCGTTGCGTTGTAGTATCGATGAAAGGACGTGAAAAGTGTGCTTTCGCTCTCAAATTGTCTCAAAGGAAGCGTCTTCCTCGCTCTTTGCGGATTCGGATCACAATGTGCAAGTGTTGCAAATGAATGCGCTCTTGGTAACCATGTAATAGCTGGATTAAGTCTTCAGGAAGATATGGTTCACCTAGTCACTTTTATGAGCCTCGTTCTGTCTCTGTTTGGATGCCACATCTGCTTTGCTGGGGCGAGTAAGTCAACTTATTTTGCCTCTGTGTCAGACAGTTTGACTCATAATAAAGATAAAACGCAGCGTGTATCTCTTTATGCTTGTTGGACACCATGACTACAGGCAAGCATAAGAGAAGACTGTTATGTAATGCTTTCAGTGTTTTTAATACAAGCACTCCCGGAGCCAGCGGAGGAAGACATTAAGGAAATTGCTTTTACTCTGTTAGTCGTTGTCTTTGATTTAATGGCCCATAGATATTGCTGAGGGAATGACCTGAGCCAGAGCGTGTCAAATCATGACATTTAAGTGCCAGTGCAATAGGTAAAAATGATGGATTATATGTTCAAAAGGGAAATATGGTCTCAAACTACTGCTTTCTTGTGTTACACATGATTTCATTAGGTTCGTCTGTTATTTCTGCTACTTTACACTAATATATAACATCCATTTATGAAATGTCTGGGCATTTTGCTCACTCTTCAATGCACGCAAAGTCATTTAAACTACTGCCAAACCTGTAATTACATCAAACTCCACAGTTAATTGAAAGACTGGCGTCTCTCTCAGTGCACTTATTCTTAATTAGCCTGTTTTACCAGAAACCATGCACAATGATGTATGTTGTCTAGCATTGACCTTGGCTCGTTACATTGAGCTGAATTTCTCTTTTGTTGGCAAATAGCAATATAAAAGGATGAGTGCGGTTACTCATCCCTCTGACGCAATGTTTGCTTTCCTGCTGAGCTCTGTGAATGTGTTTGATCCTAAAACACTGGCTCAATTGCAAAAACTTGGATAAAAGTGCATTAATGCATTTGTATTTATCCTTACTATACTGTTTTGAAGAGTTGTTTTTATATTAAGAATATGCGGTTGGGTTTTGTTTAAAAACCAAAAGTCCTTTTCTGTCAAACTGATTTTTCACGCTGGCGCATAAAGTCAGAGATTTGGCAAAGAAGAGTTTACCACTAATTTTGGCCAACTGAGTCACGCTGATCCCATTAAAGAAAATAATTAAAATTTTAATAGAATTAATTTGCATAATGTCCCAGCAGAGTGAATCAGCTAAATACAAGTGTTGCATATTTATGAACTGCATTATTGTAGTTGTTCATTGAGCTGATGTCAGGTTGGCCTTTGGATGTCTTGGGGAAACGGAGACAGAAAAAAAAACTAAAGCATCTAAAAAGAACTCACAAACATTACCCTTTTGCATGCAACAATAACATGGTTTCATCTTTTCAAACATGATGTTTATGGAGCCTGAATGTTTTATTGAATAGTTCAGTTTTAATTTCAGTTGTATATGTTTGGGGTTGTGCTAATAAATGATTCATGCTGGTGATTTGTGCTTCACAGACCGCCCTGCTGCTCCTGTCAATGTCTCTGTTACTCACCTGCGGGCGGATTCGGCCACCGTGTCCTGGAATATTCCGGAGGGAGAGACCGTAATTGGCTTTGCCGTCTCACAGCAGGTCAAACAAAGTTATTACAAGTAGATACAGCCCTACGGGTCGTTATAATAATTGCAGAAGTCTGACATTTGATATCTGCAATAAATTTACCCTCTGATGAATCCTCATGTGCTTAGACTTAAACGTGTGTGTGTGTGTGTGTTCAGCGTCAGGACGGGCTGATGCAGCGTTTCATTCGTGAGGTGAACACGACCAGTCGTGCTTGTATACTCTGGGATCTGGATGAAGACACGGATTATATTATCCAGGTCCAGTCCGTTGGAGTCTATGGAGAGAGTCTGGCCAGCAAAAAGATTCACTTCAGGACGCTTAAAAAGTCTGAACATATTCAATCCACCATGATGGATCAAGGTAAACATGTCTGTTGGATAATTTAACTGGATCACAGCATTTGTACAATATCATACATTTAATAAAGTACAGTTCATGTCTTTTATGTGAAATGATAGGGATCCTGTTTCTGAAATTTTTAAAAAAAAAAACGGTAATTATGACTTTTTATCTCACAATTCTGACTTTTCAAGATCAGAATTTCAAGATCTAAATTCGCTTAAAAAGTCTGAACATATTCAATCCACCATGATGGATCAAGGTAAACATGTCTGTTGGATAATTTAACTGGATCACAGCATTTGTACAATATCATACATTTAATAAAGTACATTTCATGTCTTTTATGTGAAATGATAGGGATCCTGTTTCTGAAAAAATTAAAAAAAAAACGGTAATTATGACTTTTTATCTCACAATTCTGACTTTTCAAGATCAGAATTTCAAGATCTAAATGTAGAATTCTGACTTTTTTCTTGCAATTCCAGGCTTTCATGTCACAATTCTGAATTTATCTCACAAAAATATGTAGCATGTGATGTAAATCAATAATTAGTCTGCTGATGTATTTCCTAATGAACAGGAAGTTTTGTGGCCATTTTTGCATTTGAGAAAGATGATTATTTTTGCATTTTAATTCAGGTTTATGAAAATATGTCTTCACTCTTAGTAGCCTGATCAAATGATAAGTCAAAAAGAGATGTTAAAAATCACACTTCATATTACTTTTGGCTGATTTGTCACTTTGGAAATGTAAGGTCAAATAAGGAAGTCTATAATTCCAGGATTTACCTTCTCATTCTTCAGAATACACAATCTAAAATATTTGATTTTGTCAGTGTAGAAACAGGCTGTACTTTATGTCTGCATATTGCATATTACATTGCGGTATAAAGTATTGTATACTGCATGATTTTAAAAATGCAGTAGGTTAGTATTCTGTATATACAGAAAATCTGGTAACAATTTATAATAAGGTCCCATTAGTTAACAAAATTAGTTATCATGAAGTGTTACTGAAAATTACTTTATTTACATTGTTAGTTCATATTAACTAATATAGTTAACTATTCTTAACAAATGGAACTTTATTGCAAAATATTTCTGAAAATTGCTTTATGATTTTTTTTTCATTGTTAGTTCATGTTAACTAGTGTAGTTAACTCTTATTAAAAAGTGGAACTTAATCGCAAAATATTACTGAAAACTGCTTTAGGAGTATTTTTTATTGTTTATTATTTAAACAAATGGAATCTTATTGGGAATTACCAAAAATGTCTTTAGTGGCAATTTTTATTATTAGTTTGTTAACTAATATAGTTAACTAATGTTAACAAATGAAACTTTATCGTATAGTGTTACCAAAAATTGTGTTTAAAAGTGTTTTTTATTGTTGGTTCATGCATGTTAACTAATGTAGTTAAAGGGGCCATATGATGCTATTTTAAAGATCATTATTTTGTGTATTTGGTGTAACAGAATATGTTGACATGCTTTAATGTTCAAAAAACACATTATTTTTCAAATACTGTACATTATTGTAGGTCCTCTATGCCCCGCCTCTCTCAAACGCTTTGTTTTCTACAAAGTCCCTCCTTCTGACAAGCGCAGTCTGCTCTGATTGGGCAGCTGACCCAGTGCATTGTGATTGGCCGAACACTACAAGCACGTGTCGGAAATGTAACGCCCCTTACCATAATCGCGAGCTTCATCTTTCAAAATAAATATTAAGACAGTTAATAATGTCATTAGTTTTACCATCATTTCAAGCTTGAAAGGGCAACAGAGTCGCGTGACAGACACAGTGATGATGCAGTACACAAGCCGCGGTTAAGACAGCTGACGTGCTATGATTTCTGAGTGGTTCACTCTCCTGTGATGTGACCCTGTTCCCCTCACACACACACACACACGACACGTTACTCTGCGCTGCGCAATACTCCGCATTTGAACAGTCAATAGCAAATACTTAAACTAATAACAAAACATACTTACAGTCGCTGATTCAGAAGCGCCAGATTGTCATAGCAAAGTCAGAATGACCTCCTCTCCTAGGTTCACGAAACGTTCGTCCATAAAATGCATTGCACAAATTCGAACATCTGGGTTGTGCTGTTCTGTTGTAAATAAATCTTAACCAATGACTCCTAATTGCATCTACTTCCGGAAGGCCAAATAAAGTGCTTTTGCTTTCGCACTGAATCACACAGCATCTCCCTGACATGCTGCATCAACACTACTGCGTTCCTGAAACCACGCCGCCTTTCTTTGCTGCACATTTGGGCGGCATTATGCTAATATTTCCAGTGATGTAGATATGTGAAGGCGTGTTAGAACGAGCCGTTTCAGGTAGGCGTGGCTGATTCTTAACTTTTATAAAGAATATCTCTTTGGATTTGAGACTTTAGTCTTTGCAACTTTACAGATCTTCTTTATGCACCAAGAGCTTGTAACACTCCAAAGAGAAAGAAAAACTTGAAATCGCATCATATGTCCTCCTTGCAAAGGATTACTGAAAATTATTATTAGTAGTATGTTTGGTTACACTTTATTTTACAGTATGGGTACTTACAGTGTACTATAGTGCTGTCAAATGATTAATCACGATTAATCGCATCCAAATTAAAAGTTTTTGTTTACATAATATGTGTGTGTGTACTGTGTATATTTATGTATATATAAATACACACGCATATATATATTTAAGAAAAAAATTATATTTGTATATTAAATATATTTATATATAATATAAATTATATAAATATAAATGTATACATGTAAATATTTTCTAAATATATACTGTATGTGTGTGTATTTATATAGACATAATAAATAAACACAGTGCACACACATATATTATGTAAACAAAAACTTTTATTTTGGATGTGATTAATCGTGATTAATCGTTTGACAGCACTAGTACTTACCCAAGAAAGTACTGAGTAGTCTAAGGTAACTACATGGGTTAAGGTTAAGTTTAGGGGTAGGTTCAACCTAGTTATTATCCAGTTATTATAATTGATATAATAAGTGCATAAGTAGCATGCTAACTAATGTAGTTAATTAACGTTAACAAATGGAACCGGTTTGTAAAGTGTTACCAAAAGTTCCTTTAGAGGGATTTTCATTTTTAGCTCATGTTAACTAATATTGTTAACTAATGTTAATAAATGGAGCTGTACTATAAAATGTTACCGGAAATTAATGTTGACAAAATGAACCTTATTGTAAAGTATTGCCAAAAAGTTGATTTAGAAGAAGTATTTTGCATTGTTGATTCATGTTAACTAATGAAGAAAACTTCTGCCTCAGAATTGTAATAGTTTTCTCTTCAGGTGTGGTTTATTTCCCCATTTCATTCTAATCTCTATTTTAACTCCTTTTGTAGTTCCAAAGGACATCATCCTCCATCAGCATCATTAAGGTTTAACCACGGCATCAACACAGATCAGCTCAGCTCTTCTTCTGATAGTCAAGCGTTAAAGGCAATAGTAACTTGAGCCTCTCAGCTCCTTCAGCCACATCGGGAATTAGGTAGTATACAGGTATTCAGTAGAACAGTATACTCCAATAAACAACAATGTCCTGGACGATGAACATACTGTACTTCTATAACTAATACATCAAATATAATCACGGGAGGAGCTATATCGGTGCTATGAATATGATTGTGAAAACACTGGCAGCCGGATACAGCGGTTTAGATGTGCGATGATGTTTTTTGCGTGCGAATGTGTTGCACTGAAAGAGGATTAATAATTGTAACAATTACAAATGTGACATTTCTCATTAATATGTGTAAATTATGACAATAAATTCATCATCAGCCACAGAAGTGGCCTTATATTATGCATTATTAATTTCTAACCGCAGTGAACAGTATATCAATGGCTTGTTTTATGTTTTGATTAAGTATTAACACTGTTATTAAATGTTTCACACCCTTGTAGAGTAGACTGTTCAACCGTGAGGTTTACATCAGATCCAGTGCAGGAGTGTCGGTGTTCATAAGAAATGGTTTTGTGCGGCATTTCTGTGCCAAACTAGTTCAAGTTTCTATTTTGAGCTTATAAATGAAGAAGTTAGTAAAATGTCTACCCTGTTATTGTAATGTGCGTAGTTCAGAAAATAATACTTATTTTATTATTATATTTTTTTCTTGATTCTCTAAGTGAGAAGTTTGGATTAAGTTATAGTAAATTAGCTACACTTAGCTGTAGTTTTGGGCAATAAATAAAGAATGTAGTTTAAAATCTGTATTTCATTGCAAACGTTAGAAGCAAAGTTTGTTAATATTCTTGTTCTCAATCCTACTTTCCAATAAATGGAAAATAAACTGTCTGGTTGGTTATTTATTTATTTACGTTTTTTGAGAGGCAGAAGTATAATTTTATAGAATATATCAATTAAAATGGTTTCATTTTTCTGTTCAATAATTCAATTTGTTAATTCTTTTAGAGAGGCAGAATTATATTATATTATATTTTAGATTATATTAACTTTTTACGTTTGATGTTTGACGTTTTCAGTGTTTAACCCTTTAACTGTCACTCACATTTTTGAACATAGACGTGAAAGTGCACGATCCAAACTTAAATTTTTATAATTCATGAACGAAAACATTTTGTAACATGATATTGATGTACCATTTTCATGGCAATGCAATGTTTGATTTTAAAATGGGTTTCAAAGGATGGATTTTGAGATTTAAAGTTTTCAATTGATATATAATTTCTGATGATTTCTAAAGTGTGATGGAGAAAAAGGCAACAAAGAAGACTTTCTGCTACAAAGGTCAGAATGATATAGACTTTTGAGGTGCACTCTTGTCATAAATTAATCTATTACTTTTCCTACATAATTTTTTACAAAAACATTGTTAAAATATCTATTTAGGAGTCTTAGACCTTTCCAACGATATATAATTTGTCATGATTAGATTAGGATTTCATTGTAATATAGTGAAGTAAATTTAGCCATCCCACAGAGGGGACGGGTGACAGTTAAAGGGTTAAGAAATAATGCAGCTAGATAGATAGATGGATAG